CTTCTTCCTGTTTATGTAACAATGAATAAAGGGTTTGGTATCCAAATCTGATTTAAGCAATGTTGTCTTCACAACAAATGGATTGACTGGCAAGAATCAAAGAAGCCTGGCGGCTTAGTTTGAGGCAACATCCTACTCAATCCTTTTCCAAGGAAATGATTGGAATTCCTGGTACTTAACATGCCTAATGAGTAGAACAAGGGAATCACAAAGAGGGAGGTTTTTCTTTCATTCTTCATCCCTTTCTCTGTATTATTCGTCTTTTTCCCCCTTTTTTTTTTAGTATAAATCAATTTCAGGTAATGATAGAAAATGCAGGAATATCTGGTTGGAGCTTACAATGCCCAGAAATGCATTTAATGCATTTAGCGGTTTCTGTTTGTTGTGGTTTTACACCAGTCGGATGGCCTCCGATAGCTACGCTTGGCAGAAACCTTATCTCTCCATCGTCACAGTATCTCTTTGCTTCCCCCTTCCATTCTCTGGCCCCCTGATTTTATTAATGCCCTCATCAGGAAGTGGGGCCTAGAGTTTCTCTTTACTAACAAACAAATTAGTCTTTGTATTTGTGTGGCTCCACCCCTCCTCCCTCTCTCTCCGGCTGCTGGAGAAGCTGGAAGAAAATTCTCAATGAAACAAAGAAGACATGCAGCTCGATGGCTCACAAGTGGAGCCCAGGGGCATTGGTGTTGATTGGAGAAAGCAAATACTATTTTCTACTGGAGTAATCGTTTCCGTTCTAAATTTGGAGAAGTGAAACACCCTGACAGGAGCAAATATAGCCCATTCATCCCCATAAACAATGTGGCTTCTATTTTTGGCAGCATCATTTGAACAAAGAACATCAAACATGGCCTTTTTTGTGTCTCCGCTGAAGTGGAGTTAATTTACTCACATTGAATGTATGGCAAGGAGAGGACATTTGAATTATTTTCCCATTTTAGAAAGACAGTCTGGTGACGTAGTGTTTATTTTGGGACTAGAAACAGTTTAGCTCTTTGCTTTATCCCTTAGCCATGGTTGGTGTTTTGACAAGGATCAAAGACTCGTTGAAAACATCCCTGCTTGTCTCACTGGACAGGCGCTGGGACAGTGTCGCTCACTGTGATGGCATCCTAAGCCTCTGTAAGAACATAACAGGTTTAACTAAGGAGCTCATATGTCAGGGCATTTCCTTACCTCACCGTTGGACCGCCTTTTAGATAGTTCAAAACAATATTCAACCTGTTAGATGCAGTATGTGCTAATGCTGTAATTATTGAAATCATTTATGGTTTCATAAATATTTAACACAGTGCATTGTGAGGGAGTAAGAGAATTTTAGCGGTTAGGTTTTAGAGACTTTTTTTCCCAGCTTTTTACAGTAGAGCAGTGATTCCCAAACACAACAAGTAACTGTAGGCTAACCCAGGTAGTACTTCTGCAGTTGCTTGAAGGTACAAGGAAATATTGTGGAGTAGCTCAACTAATTAATTTTGAAAAAAAGGAAGGAAATTGATTGATTTTAAAAAAGAAAATACACAACAAATTGATTCAGCTGTAACGTTGGAACACTATGTATTGCATGTAAGCTCAAATTATTTGAAAAATGTTTAAAATAGTTTCATAATAGCGCTGGATTAGTTTTTGGTTAAAATAGCTAAAAGTAATGGATAAATGGTTAAAATAGCTAATAGTAAAAGTGTTAAATGGTTAAAATAGCTAATAGTAATGGATAAATGGTTACAATAGTTGATGGTTGAAACCACCTCCCAAGTGCTACAAATGCACACTTGACACAGTTCAGTTGCATAAAATAATACTTTACCGTAATAATATCCACTGTTATATAATTAATACTGTACAATAACATCCAGTAAAATCAATTCATATAAACACATTTGGAACACGGTGGGTGGTGTCGATAAAGTTAATTGACAAAGCTCATTTGACGGGGCTGTGAACATACATCAGACAGAAAGACAGTGGAACAACTGCGTTGGAGCACAATGAGAATATCGTCTACGATTAATTCCCAGGTGTTGTAATTGATAGGCGCGATTAGAGGGAGAGTTGATTGTCATCAATAATAAATGGAGTCTTTGTTGTTAATGTTTTGGCAGTGTGTGCGTGTGTGTGTGTGTGTGTGTGTGTGTGTGTGTGTGTGGTGTTGAAAAACGCTCCAGGTTTCAAGTGTTTTCCGAGTACAGAGGAATGGCTTATTCAAACTCTGGGGTTATCTGAGGTAACAGACACAACATTTTACAGAGAAATGCGGGCTTTGCATCTGATATGATGGATACAGAAGTTGCATCAACATGTTACCTTATGAACCCCAGTGTGAAAGTAAATAATTTCCCCAGTCTCCTCCATATTAAAAATCACCTCAGCTGAACCTGACAATTATATCTATCCCTTGTTAAAATAAAAATGCCTGCCGGCAAGAACTCTGAACAAACATTGACTTCTTTGTACAACGTAGAAACATGATGTCCTAGCACTGCACACACTGTCTTTTTCATAGCTCTCTTTATTATTTGTATGTATGACATGTTGCCAGCAAAGTACCAGCCTTTCCATCTTGACTAACAGGATTATATGCTTCAAGAAGATTATTATAATTAAAATCTTTTGGCAGAAGTAATCTACATGCTAATCTATACATAGCATTGCTGTATGCCCCAGCTAACACTTGTTACATTCATTTCTGATACAAAAGAAAATATGTAATACTCTCTATTGTACGTGTGTTTTTGATTACATTAATGAAGAAGCATCTTTCGCCTGTCTGTGTCTTCCAGTCTGTGGTCCTAGTATCGACATCCGAAATGAGATCAGTGAGTTCAAGCGGCTGGAGAACTGCACAGTGGTGGAAGGCTACCTACAGATCCTCCTCATCAACGACAAGACCAACAACATCCACCAGGAGCTCTTCCGCTCCCTCAGCTTCCCAAAGCTGACCGTCATCACTGACTACCTGCTGCTGTTTCGCGTCTCGGGCCTGGACAGCCTAAGCATGCTCTTCCCCAACCTGAGTGTCATCCGCGGACGCAATCTCTTCTACAACTACGCCCTGGTGATCTACGAGATGACCAGCCTGAAGGACATCGGCCTGTACAACCTGAGGAACATCACGCGGGGAGCCATGCGGATTGAAAAGAACCCTGAGCTCTGCTACCTGGACTCTGTGGACTGGTCTCTAATTATGGATGCTGAGTTCAACAACATTATCAATGGGAATAAGAAGGTAAAGGAGTGTGACAATGTCTGCCCGGGCATCATGAAGGATAACCCTCTTTGTCAGAGGACGTCGTTCAATGACAACTACGACTACCGCTGTTGGACCTCCAACCAGTGCCAGAAAGGTAACCTGAATTCTATGTTGTTTTATTTCATACTTTATACTAGAGGATGCATTAAATGTGATGTTTGCTAAATACATTTTAACAGCGGCAGTGTTTGTGCGATATTTGGCAATAGAAGTACAGGAAATGCATTTGAGACTTTGATCTAGGTAGGTGGTTTCCAGTCTCTTAAACATTCTGAAATTGTGCATTTTTTTCACCAGCGAACAAATCCAGTGAATCTATGCAGTGTTTTTCCTTCATTTCCGTCAGGCTGCAGGATTGTCCACGGGCCAGTGCAAACATTTCCTCTCTGTTCATTATAGAGACCTTGTCTTTAGATCAGGCTATTTGTGGAGTGAAGGATGGCTGCAATATAGAGCACCAGGTATTAGAAAGGCATACTCAGTTGAGGTTAAAGTTGCTCTGCCAAGAAATGAGCTAGTCTACCTGTCTGGACCATGTCAGTTAAATATTTGCCTTAGGGACTTTTTGCAATTTATGAAAAGGGGTATATAGAAGTATCTGGGGGAGGGTCATCCTTGTTTAACTTTGGCCCCGCGGTAGGGTCATGCATTTTTTAAAACAGTTCAGAGGAGGGTCAGATCATTTATATATTAAATTTAAATTCCTCTCGATCTGCAGGTTTATGTGTATTTGTCGCCTGGGTTTAGTTTTGTGTCTCTGTAGCAGCTTGTAGTAACATTACATATCATCACCGCTCTTTTTCTCTCCGATTTCAGAGTGAGGGACAGCTTGTGCTTTTTGATTAGAAACTGGGACAACCAGATCAGCTGTCTCATGCCTCTTCAAAACTAGTGTAGAAGGCAGTTCAAGCCTTTGTTACAAACTTACGCAGCCTGTTTGACACAGGCGGATAAAGCCAAGCTGTTGATGAGGCTTCTGGTAGAAATGTTTTGTTGCTTTCTGACATAAATAGTTTTTTTTAATATTATGTTTCTTACCTGCAGCTGTTTTGAAGATATCAAGCTCCTAGTTGTTTCGTTAAGCCATCGATGCTTTATTTTTAACTTTTGCTCCAAGGGCGCAGAGGCCACGGTTATGAATAATTTTTCTGCATCCTTGCTGGTGATAGTTGTGGCCGGAGGCATTATGTTTTCGTGTTTTGCTTCCCATTCTTGTTAACGAAATATCTCAGTAATGCTTAGAGGGAATTTCTTGGAAAAACATCCACTTAAGCTCAAGGATGAACTGATTTGATATTGGTGGTCAAAAGTCAATGGTCAAGATCACTGTGAAATATGTTTTTGGCCATAACTCAAGCATTGAGAATTGCAATTATGAGTTGGCAGTTGAATGCAAGGAAGCAGACCAGAGGGCCATCATCTACCCTGTGGAAGTGGGGGGTGCGGGTGGTTTGTCAGCACATGAACTTCACGGCTACTCCGCGACATGGGTGTACAGGGGTGAAGCTTCAGTGGGCGCTCAAAGAACTGGCAGAGGAAGCAGAGAAGGGCAGCCGAGGAGGAAGATAGGCGTTGGGGTACAGAAGGCCAGCTGCAGGGAGTGCGGGTGTAGAGAGAGACAGAGATGCATAAACCAGGGGCCAGGGACGCAAATATAGACGGTGCAGGCAGTGCGGGCCTTTTGGAGTGGGGGGGGGCCCATAGGGAGAGTTGGCCCTCCAACAATAGGTGGTGAAAAGACCCTTGTGAGTGACTCAGATTACCGCCTGGGAAATACACCTGTGTTTAAAGAAGAAGTCATGTTCAAGTAAAAATGCCATTTGCTCTGTCATGGTTTTAATTTCTCTTGATAAAATAGTCATTAGAAATCTATTACAAAATTATTCATCTTTTTCTACATGAACTATAAAAACTATAAATGAACTATAAACTATTCATTTTTATTTGTTTTCTTTGGTACTTTTGGCATATAGAGGTTTGCAAAGAGGATTACTGGGTAATATGTATGTTGAGTTTCTATTTGATCATGTGACGAGACAATATGATATACTGTAAGATAGCTAGAGCCCATCATAATAGTGTGCACTCTGGCCTGTTGTGACTACCTTACGCCACTGGTCTGGGCGGACATGGATACAAACTGCAACTTGACTAGTTGGCGGAGGCATACAACTGCGGGGTGGTAATTCCTGTTCAAGGTTGCAGGCAGGGTCACATACATTATTCTTCAAATACAAAAGGGCTATTGATTCTTTTAAGGTTCAAATTCCTTTACAGACTGCACCTAAAACACACACAATACCCATCTCAACAGTTCAAACAGTAGTCACAAAACATTAGAAAAGGCTATTAACACACATTTTCAATGCAAAAACACTTTTTTAACTAGCGCTTTAATTTAATTATGTGTCAAAAACATGCCAAAAAATGTCAAAACATAACATTGTAGATGTTATTGGTTTATGTACAGATATTGTGACTGAAAGGCCTTTTAGACGCTGATAAAAAGATATAATATAATGACCTTCTTTCTTCTTGCTGCTTTGCTTTAGCAGATACAGATGTTGTTTATTTGCAGTTGAGAGGGTGATATCAATGCCGCAGCTTTGGCATTGTGTACCATTTCCCTTTATTTGTTTATGTTGCATAGACTATTACCACACTTGAGAGAAAGACTGGCCTCTTTAATTTGCCTCCATCTGGAGTCTGAATATCCATACTGTACAATAACTCAGTGCAGTAAATAAAAGATATACAATGTTTTTTCTCAGTGGAAATGATCATGTCAGACCTGACTTGATTTGATTTGGCATAGAAAACTTGTTTCAGACTCCTGATCTTTGCCTCTCGTCTGTGTGAAATAATGGTGGGAAAATGTTCCTCCAGCCCTCTTCTATTGAAGACCTGTGTACGGCTCCCATGGTCAGTTGGGAGTCTCAAACACGACCCTCCTTCACCCCCCAGGGACCCTCAGAACAAATAGTGGAAATCAAGCTTGCGTCTTTTCCCTAGTGACCATGCCTGTCTCTATAGAAAAGCTATGGTGTTTATTGTTATGTCTCTGTTTATTCTTGGATGCACTGACCTGCCAGTGATTGTGTGCGCCATATACAATTGGCTATGTGAATTAAAAAACGAATATCTTTGTTTAAAACGAAACAAAAGTTTCCTAAATGTGCTTTATTTACTAAGTGCTACATTGTGAAAGGTGCAGTCGCCTGCGATGACCTTCGATGCACGTCTTTTCCTCCCAGAGTAGATTCTATGTAGCGTTTGCGGTGAAATCCTCTGTTGTTCTCCCATAACAGACTTGAGAGGCAGAGGAGGATTATTGTTTGAACCAGTTCCCTTTTCTCTGAGGCCCAGGCCGAGGTCAGGGTAAATGCATTCATCTGGAGGGCCTTGAGGTCTCAAGGTTGCAGATAAAGGCTCTGTGGGGGGGCTACACAGTGGAAAAAAAGGAGGAGTTACTGAAGCAATAATAAGACAGAATGATTCCTGGGAAGTCTGTGAGGTCTGTTTATATTCCAGGCTTCATGCACAGGTAACATTTCTCACACTGTCTTAGTTTTATTTTTTTTTTTAAAGGCTTGATGTGTCTTTCTTCTCTCCTTCCTGCTTAAGATTCGTCTCTCCTCCCTCCACCCCTCTGCATAATTGCCTTGTTTTTCTCCAGTACAGATGTTCCTTCAAGGGCATTCAGTGGTTTTCTAGTCAATACGGCCCGGTCTCCTCTTTAATTACACTACATGAGGAGGGAGGGCGGTCTGCCTAGCGCACTACTTTTGCCTCTGGGCCTTCTAGTGCTTCCTGGAGCAACAACAAACCTCCTCTTTCCACATGTTTGTCCACCTACCAGATACTGTTTCCCACAACAGTTTGGAGTGTTTTAGATTAGAGTCTCCTCAGAGGTTAATGTAAATATGATGCTGGACAGAATAAGCCAGGTTAATGCCGTACTTGTGGCTGGATGGAAGTGAGTGGGAGTGACCGCGTAGAGAAGTGCAGATTGGAGCAGAGGTTCTGGGTGCTTTTCAGTGGCAGGCAGCGATGCGTAGAGAGGCCCTGACTGAGGAGCCGTACGCAGGAGGAGGGGCACTGAGGGGAAATGTCAGACAAATGTCAAGTATACAAGCTCAACGGCAGGCTCTCGCTAAAGCGCAGTGCTTGGAGGATTGAAAAATGCCCGTCATTCCCCTTTGCTTTTCGTCCCCTCGGCCTGCTCCTCCTCATCATACACACTGTCTGTCCATTTCTTCCTCACTAGTGTTCTCCACTTTGCTTAGCCTCAGCCTGGAACTCATCTCTGAGTGTCCTTGTCAGTTTGTCTGGTGGTGTTTCCTCCTCTATTTTCACCTCACTCTTTTCTGCAGGGCTTATCGGGGGCTGTTAACAGCTCTGGCTGTCAGATATCCCTCCACTGTTTACTTGTGGGAGACATTCTCTCATCGCTGCAGTGGTAACAGCCAACTGGCCTGTTTGGCCGGGCCCTGGATCCTTTGACATCGCCCGCTGTTTGCTTTGAATTTTGGGGGATCCTGTGACTTAAAAGTGTCTGGCCTGCTTCAAATAGCCTTCTCAGGTCTCTGCAGGTCTTTGCTACAGACAGGCCTGCCTTCTGCCCCTGGACTTGAGCCAAAGCCTGATAGCGAAGAGGCTTTTAAAATTAGGCAGACAAGCAGGAAAGCATGCCGACGTGTCCATCCCAGTCTCAGGGCAGGTTAGTCTTCATAGCTCCACAGGGAGGCACACACTCTCACACTTGCTAGTCCTCACATAGCTCACATGTCTCTTTTATGTGATAGAATATTAACTTCCAGTATGCTCAGCCTCGCAGGCACTCTGATCTAGTTTCTCTTACCTCCTTATGTAGTTTGATTCTAAGAAACATCATGTCCTGAATGTTGTATTTTGATATTGATATTGAGTCAGGTCTGCCTGTTAATGGCAAATAAATCAAAATGTCCACATACTGAAACTGCTTTTGCTTTCTGAGAAAGGAAAACTGTGGTGTACTTGTAAGTGGCGTGGTGTCAGTTTGCATTTTAGGGTCTGAGCTATAGTTGTGTAAGGAGACCTACTGTCCTGTTATGC